TTCAAACGTTGTTTATTTAATTATTTCGTCTCAATTATTTCTCTGTAATTTGTAACTCATAAGTTACAAATTATATTTCGCAACTTGTAGGTGCAACTAAAATAATAAACGTGACAACCCTACGCTCCCAGTGTCGTATAAGCATGGACGCGCCGAACAGGCGAGAGATGGATTACTTGTCTTATTTATTTATACTATGCTTAAAATACCTATTGTAGTACCTTCATCGTCTATTTCGAGTTTCCGACACAAACGTTTATCAAATTTCGTACATTTTGTGTCAAATTAGAAGACATTGGTGGCATTGAAATTTCGTTTCAGTGTTGCCTCGTTTAAACCACTCTTTCTACTAATTAAAACTGGTAAAAAAACTTTTAACAGTGTTGCCGTTTAAACTAATTATATTTTTGTCGAAGATTACATTATTCAGCCTAAAGAAAGTGGATATTTTTAACAAAATAAATTGTTGCTACAACTTAAAGTGACATGGACGCTCATATTCCAAATTACCATCGCTCCTTTTTGTTACACCCAGTATTTAGTATAAGATCATATACATATATACATATTTTCGTAATTGTAATAATAAAATCTAACCAATAAACACACTAACCTATCCATCCCTTAAAATTGTATATAAATACATAACATTCCGCTTATATTGAGATTAAAACAACACCATGTATTATAGTAGAGTTATTGATTTCACTATGTGACTTAACGGTGCACTTCTTTAGTAAGATTATATACGTTATATACATGATTTTTATGTACTTACTATGTAAACAAAATGCATAATGGTATATAGTTCTAAAACGCGAACACAAACAAAATAATCGAAACGTTTACTTTAGAATTATGTGCTTTTACAAGCTTTGTTTATAATAAACAATGGATTTTAAATAGCCATATTATAAACAGAAAAAAAAGAAATATGATCTGTGCAATGAAGATGCACCTTTATCTATGTCTATGGGCGCCTTTACATTAGACGCTTCTAGAAGCGCTGCAGTAACGCGGAATTATTAACTTTCATACAATATCTGGAAGCACAGTTGCAGCGCCACTGTCGTGACACGTGCACGCCGCTTTTGCAGTAACAATTAGTGAAGTAAGACGTAATGCGCGGCTGCCGTAAACGTCTAATTTGAAGGCGCCCGTAATACACGCAATTTATATAAATAATGAAATTGCGAAATGTAAGAAATAGTGTTAAGCTAGAATTTCTTATATCTAGAATTCCGAAGGTATATACAACGCCTTGGAGACATTGGATAAAACAAAACACGAAATAAATGTTCGTATTTAATTTAATATTTAATTATATTCAATTATAAACGTAATGTATAGATCGGTTTCAATAAAAAAAAATCAGTTCAATTGTACGTCAACATAAAATTACAGTGACTCACTATGCTGCGCCATATGGCATACGAACTTCAATAGGTAAACAAATACAAGAACATAAGAATTATATAAATTACAAAGTTCTTAACTAATATTGTGTCCGACATTAATATTGGAATTTTATCCAGTGTTTTAACTTTCGATTCTCGCGTAATAAGTAATTTTTCAAGATAAGATTTTCTAGCTTCTTATTATTTTTAACAACGGTGCTGAATCATTTTAAATTTGTATTGGATATTTATTGGATTATACAATATATTTTTCACAATTTGTAATTTAGTCTTTAAGTGAATATTTTGCAATAATTATGCAACGTTTGAATTGTGCCTTAGAATGTGTACCTGGCCTATATTGTGCCTTTTTTTAAAAGTCAATAATTGAATTGTTTTTCTAAAGGAGTTAGAATTTTGGCGCTATTTAAAAAAAACGATAATTCACTATGAAGTTCTTGGTACTTTAAGTTTTTTTATAAATCTTCTATATACAACAATAAAGTAACCCATTCATAAGCGAATATGTTAGCCGACAATCGGATAATAAATGCTGATGTTAGACGATATGGTTTGACGACCTTGATGGCCCAGCGATATAAACTGTGGACGCTGGATAAAAAAGTCTGACATTATTTCAAATGCTTGCATTTCTGATTGAAATTTGCACACAAAGTTAATTTTAAACTTGATAGACAATAATGAAAATACAAGTTAAATACACAGTGCTTTTTATGTAAAAAATCATGCCGCAAACTGCCCTAAGAATCATCAATTAAAAATCCCAATTCACATCATTTAAACTAAATTTAAGGGAAAGTAAAATTGGCAACCCTGAGAACAATTCAAATAGGTTGGTTAGCCAACACGTTACCCGATATGTTAAACAACATTTTCACAATGAATGGGGCGTTTAAGAATGTACAAGGAAGTGCAGGAATTGTGCCATTCTGGCCAATACTTAAAAAAAAAAAAAACAATCAGGGAGCGCAGAAATGACAAAATCTTTTTATTGGGTAGGTAATAGAAACGAAAATAAAGAAAAATAATTAATTGCGAGGTTAATGCCCCTGACCTAATAACCGGTAAAAGCAAAGAAAAGAAACGGTATATCGAAACAACGCAAAAAAAGTCAAAATTCAAATCTATAAAACTCATGGGAGCAAACCTTTACAAAATCTGTTACGTTTTTATTTACATACATAATTTAAACAAAAATAATAAGCAATACATTATTTTATTTATGATTAAGACTGAACTTATTATTGAATTTATAATAAATATGAATTATTACAGATTTCATACTACTCAAAATGGCCCTCGTAATAATTAATTATATTAAAATTTAAAAAATAAAACTCCCTTAGGGCGGCGCCTTCAAGTTAGATGCTTATAGAAGCACTGTGGCACTGTCACCGCGCCACTACTCATTTTCATACAACATTTATAAGCACAGTTGCAGCGCCCCAAACACGCGCGCCATTTTTGCAGACTAGAATATTGTATGAATGTCTAATTTAAAGGCGTCTTTAAATTTAATTCAACTAGACTTGAGATTTTATGATACCTTCGATGGGGAACCGAATATCAATATTTGGTAAAATAAACACGTATTCTTGTTAATCGATTGTAAACACAACAAAAGACGATCCCTGAAACAGAAAATTTATAGCGTTCCAAATCTCAACAATCATATTTTAACACCGAATCCTGTAAGATAGTTGAAAAAAACAACACCCTTATATGGCGAGTATAATTTCTTAGTCATTCCTTTTACATTTAAATTATGCTTTATCGATTTTTTTATGATTAAATATTTCTATATTCTGAAGAGCAATTAAATTTCGAATGTTTTTTTGAACCCATTGTAATGTATTAAATATTAACAATACCTACTGTTTAGTGCAAATGTACTTAATATAAGCACACTTATAAGTACTTAAAAATATGTAAGATCTAAACATGACTAGTTAGCTACTTAATTGATAACTTTTTTGTGGAATTCATAAATAAAGAATTTAATTTAAATTTGTTGTTTTAGTCTATCGTTATTATTAGTAAACGCAACGAATAGTATATTCGGCCTACGGTCAAATACAGAGAATTCGGCCAGGAGCGTGGCCGAATAGCCGAAAATTTGGCCAAACAGATTAGGTTAGTTATGATAAATAATTTTGTACAATGATACAAGAAAAATATAATAATTTCAAGTTTATTACATAAGGCCTGTTCAGTATCGTAGCCGTAGAGCTTCGTGTGTAAAGGTTCGTCCAGGGAAGTACTGCCACCTTGCTTCTTATTCCAGCCGCCAAGCAGTAATGTCAGCATTACTGCGATCGTGTTTTGAAGGATAAATAAGGGTGCTAGTGAAATTACAGGCACGTGGGACTTGTCAACTTATGTCTCAGGGTGACAAATGCAGTGGTAGTGCCCCTCAGATCTTTGCGATTTAAAGCTCTGGGTGGCACTACAACTTGGCCAAACGGTTAAAAACCATGCCGGTCTGCCACGAAGAGGTCCAGGCTACAATTCCCGGGCCGGGAGAAATATTTTATGGCCTAGGTAGGTTTACTTCTCTAGTGAGTGGATGTAATTTGTGGTGGTCTATGGCGACCACGACACAGTGTTACCCCTCCAAAAAAATTTTGTTAGTTTTCATTTAACTTGTTACCTTTTTTGACTTCTTCAATCTTTTTTCTTTTTTTCGATAAATAATCGAAAAATTGCAGTTTCATGGTTAAAGTTTTTATTATATAATGTTTTTAGGTATTTTATAATGCTTCTAGGTATTCGGTATTGTTCTGAATAGTGATTCAGTATTTTGTATTCAGCCGGATAGCAAACAGCAAACCGAATAACATGCAGGTTCGGTGCTCCTTTCTCTGCCGCGTCTTCCCTCCCTCTTATGATTTGGGGTCCTTCAAACGAGGCGTGAAGAGGCATATTGTAGGCAGGCAGGGTGGAGGTGGCTAGTGCAGTGAGGATTTCATCGCTGCACTAGTTTCCTTCGCGTTTGGATACCACTTTCCACTTAACATCAGGTGGAGTGGAGTCATTTGCCTGTCATGTATAAAAAAAAAAAAAATTCTTTTTAACTCCAGTTATTATGTTTATTGTAACCAAATTGCGATGTAATAGAACACGAATATGTGATGTTCGTTTAGTTTGTGATACTATATTACCTTAAAAGGAATCAATACTTAAAGATGAGATAAGCAACTTTAAAAAAAATCTTTTAATGCAGTATTACTTTCAAAAATAAAACAGTATTTCCATGAAGCAAAATATCTATCTGCAAATTATTTAAAGTAATTTTCCTTCGTGTCGCATAGCCCCGTACCGCATATATTTCTAATGAAAACTATTTGAAATCATTAGAAATGTCAGATAGAAGAAGAAACAATGATCTCAAATAAGTACCATTAGGGCGCGTTTATACGACAAGAATATCATCGCGCGGTCCAAGAGCGGAGTCTGCGGCGGCCGCCGCAAAACGACCGCATGCACGTGTTCAGAGACCGACCTGACATGGCAAAATACGCTCTATTTATTTAGCTTTTAGCTGGAATGCATTAGTTTATCTTTTGCCTACGCGGTCGCCGAGCGGAGTCCGCTCTTCGATCGCGCGGCGGCCGCCACGAACTCCGCTCTTGGACCGCGTGACGGCCGCGCGAAAACTTTCTCCTCATGTGTCTGGGCGCTTGTTGTTCCAAAACAGTATAAAATGTACTTCTGTCAGATTTTATAAGCTACAATTTGAGTTTTGAAAGTTTTATAAATCAAAAATAACTAATTACTACATTTTATTATAAATCGATTATAGACTACAGGGCTACTTAAGATGCCGAACCAAGTTGAACAGAAGGTCATCGACCCTGAGGCAGAACTTAGCAATGTTCAACGTACTGTAAGTTTTTGGCTAAATTGTAAACATAACTACACTAATAATAAATATAATGCTTAGTTGGCATAGTATTTGGCACGGTTTGCTAGAAGACGTCGGTTCAAATCCGACCGGATCGAAGGAATTTCTTTCTAAATGTTCGATCTTCGTATTAATAATGATACTAACAAATATGTTCTATATTCTAGTTTCAAAAGCTGGCGCCTATGTGCAGTGTTGAGAAACGCGCACAAGGCATTCCACAGCTCGCCCCGCAAGAAAAACAGCTGAGTATCCTAGCGCATGAACTCAAGGAGACTCTTCTCTGTATCAATGTAGGTTTTCATCAACCACCATCAGTCGAAAGATTATTTTTTATAGCGCCAAGTGACGGGACGACCAAGTCGTGGGCTGCAGTGCCACTCAGAGCTTTAAATCGCACAGATCATACTGCGCCCGTCACCATGAGATATAATTTGACAAATCCCATGTGCCTGTAATTTCACCAGCACCCTTACCCTTCAAAACCGGAACGCAGTAATGCTGACATTACTACTCGCGACACTAAGCGACGGGACAATGAAGTCGTGCGCGTGCACTCCACACTTTAAATCGCAAAGATCTGTCGGACACTGCCACTGCGCCCGTCACTTTGAGACCTAAATCGACAAGTTCCATGAGCCTGTAATTTCTCCAGCAGACGTTAACAACTGGGTTTGGGTCTCTATCAAAGAACGCTTCAACGACCGTTCTTGCGCCGCGCGCCTTTCTCAGGTCTTCAATCCACTAAAAAGACGTTTAGACGTATACGTTATGTTAGAATGTCGTTTAACAAAGCTGAAGTCTCACCAAGTTAACCTACTTCATCTTTTTTAAACGATTTCAAAAAAGGAGGAGGTTCGTAATTCGATTGTTTTTTTTTGTACGTATGTTACGCGATAACTCTTGTTGAAATAATTTGTAAACCGATTTTGATTCTTTTTTTTTTTGTTGGAAAGAGGGTACCTCAGTATTGGTCCAACTTAAAGTTGTAAAAAATATTCCACTTTTAGGCAAACTAGGGGCTGAATCCGGATTCGCGCACTTTTCGGTAACCGATTTCAATAAAAATTGTGAAATGGATGTAATTACACGAATTTTTGAGGTCGATTTTGTTACTACTCTGTATTGAGATTATTTAATGTAATGTATCTAAGAGATAGACTAAAATTCCTTTTTACGTTGATTTTCTTAACTTTGCCTGTCTAATGTTTGACATCATAAAATTTAAAAGTGCGGAGTATCTGTATAATTTAGAATTTGCGAACCCTAGGCCTATTCTGGCAGATTATATACACTGCCGGCGTGAGGGAAACCCGGGGGAGTTTTAGTGGCCCTCCAGTCTGGAGGGAGAGTCCCCACATAACGCCTGGGCTCAGTGGTATCTAGAAAGATTTCCCCCGTCAAAAAAAAAGTTGTATACAGTGAACGGTAGCTTTTGAATCTTTCGCCATCAGTCTTCAAAGTGCTGGAATAATATTCCTCCGCCAATAAGATTTGTGCATACTAAGTTTACCTTTACGAAACTCATTAAAGAGGCTATTTTACGCAAACAAAAACTTGGTATTCCGAAGCGCTTTGAGTCTATAGTATTGATACGTTCCAACAATAATTTATTTTTCTAATTCCTATTAATCTAACACTAACACCAATTTAATTGTTTTATTATTATTATAACCATGTGGACATAAACTATCACCACAGCGCACACATGCGATGCGTTGCGAGTTTTTATTATAATGCCTTACATACATATTTCTGTTTATCATTTTTGTTATTTGATCTTTTGTTTTTTGATATTTAAAAATAATGATATCTTGTTTTAATGCTCATATCTTACTTTTTTTGTACTACATTGCTTTTTGATTATTTTTTTAATTTTGTTTGTGTATCGCATGTGTGTTTTGTGATAAATAAACCATTTATCTATCTGTCTATCTTAGATTTCTTTTTTAAGCTCATGAAAATGATTCTGGTCATTTCTGATTTATTGTGTTCTCCCTACAGCTCGCGAAGAAAGGACAGCATGCTATCCGCGATGCTCAAATTCGTAGCGGCATGCACAAATCAATCGTGGAATACGAACAACTGGAAGCAATGTTGCGCGATGAAAACGCTCAACAGGATGAAGTGGATTGCCTCAATTATTTGGCTGGAAAGCAAATTATCGAGCTCTTCAAGGCTGTGCCGACCGAGACAGATGTAATTCTTTCTTCCTCTAATCAAAAGTCTAGAAATTTCTGAATTTTCGAACGTTACAGGGAACTCAAATTGTCTCCAAACAACTGCCTCCGTCCGTGGCCGAACGGTTACCATTCCGGACTGTCACACAGAGGTCCCAAGTTCGATTCCCGGGCCGGGAGAAATATTTGTATGGCCTACATGTGTTTCTCTCGTGAGTTTGGGTGTAATTTGTGGTTGTCTGTGTGTGTGTCCTTGGCACCCGCGACACAGGGTTTCCCTAGTACGGGGGTATGCTGAGTGTGTGTGTTATTTATTTATTTATATCGACTTTTAATATTTGTATTACCAGTTGAAAATTGTAATTTGTTTGAATTTTATAATTGCAAGTAACAATTTTTTCAAATTTCGAAAATATTTGTTCAAAAACGGATACAGAAACGTAGTAGTCATTCATGAATCAGGTAAAATAACTAACTGAATAAACAAAATAATTGAATATCAGTTCAATACAAAATTATAGTTAATAGCGACATCTCTAACTAGGGCTGGTAGCTGTAAAGTTACCTAACTGGGAAGAAATATTTACGTAGATTTCTCAAAGATGGCGCTACGGCTAAAATAGTATTTGAAAAACCAAATACAAAGATCCGACAACAAGCACATAGAAAAATTCGCGAGATCCGCTCCTTCCATGGTTTAGTTGGCATAGAGTCTGACACGATTTGCTAGGAGACGTCGTCGGTTCGAATCCGGCCGGATCGCAGGAATTTTTACTAAGTGTTCGATCTTTGTATTAATAATTATAACAAACTAGTGGAGTAATTTCACAAAAAAACAAAATTGAATATCAATTCAATACAAATTTAATTGAATAAACATTGTGAGAAATGTTGGTTCGTTAATTTAAAGAAAATTAAAATAAATCAAAATTATCTTTATTTCACATATAATAATAAATAAATATGAGACATAACATACGTTGCTCTGATCCGAATGTAAGTTGCTAAAGCACTTGTGTTGTGGAAATCCCCGAGACAATATGGAAAGGTTAGTTTTCCACACTGACCCGACTAGGGATCGAACTCGGGACCTCAGAGATGACACCATGAAAATCGGCGTACAAGCCACTCGACCACGGAGGCCGTCCAAGGTAAGCAAATTACACTTGAAATCCTCACATTTTCTTCACACGAGATCCGCGCTCTACTTAACGCATTATGGAAATTGAATAATGAAAGCATTATGGTAACTTTCGTGATAATGGCACCCGTGTTATCGAAATCTCTATGGTAAAAATAGATTAAAATACATAATTCCTTACCTAATAAACGAAATTCCAAAAGATATTAAAAGTTCTCTAGATGATAAAAACATCAAACATAAATTAAAAACACACTTTTTAAATCAAATTTAATACTAACAAAGATCAATTATTGAACATAACTAACCTATAACTAACATATACCATAACAATAAAATAACTTATATTATTAATTATTATTTAAGCCTCTTCATAATACTCAGGTCCAGCGCATATATTATTATGATAATAAATAACACCCGTTATTAACGACCGGCTACCACACACACACGCGCACTACGACAAATATTAATCAGCACGCAGTAGTATGAACAATGCACACACTACACACAAAAATATTTTTGTACGACGTCTGACGGTATACAGAAAAACTTACTTAAGTTTATGTTATACTGTAATGTTTTTGTTCTGATGCTTTTATATGAATAATAAATAATAATAATAATAATAACAAGACAACAATAAAACTGAAACTAAATAAGGTATTAAAAATAAAGTAATTATATAAAATAAGGTATTAAAAAACCAATTAGAGGGGAGTTCTAGATCTCGATTTACTGATCCTATATGGGAATTTTAATAATTTATTCGCTAAAAATGTCGATTTTTTTGTGACGGGACGATCAAGTTGTGCGCCTGGTGATAAGCTATACGCCTGTCCATAACAACTGCAGTGCCAGTTAGAGCTTTTAATCGCAAAGATCTTAGGGGCACTGCCACTATGCCCGTCACCCTGAGATATAAGTTTACAAGTCTCATGTGCCTGTAATTTCACCAGCACCCTTATGGTGCATTTGTTCGACACAAGTATCATCGCATCTAGCTGTCATGGCAAAATACGCTCTATTTATTTAGCTTTTACGTTTTTACTTAAATGAGCATCTCAGGTGCGCCGGCGAGTCTGGCTTGTCTTGTGACCGCGCGGTTATACTATTCCGAGGAATTTGAGGGTCGTATTCCAGAACTCTACTCAATGCTCAAGTCAGAACTTGAGTATGATTTAAACCACTAGAAATCATACTCAAGTCCTTGTCATTAGGGTCGTATTTCCAGTGCTTGAAATCCTACTCAAGTCTGCTCAAATTCTGACGGAGTTCTAGAATACGACCCTAAATATTGTTGCCTAGTAAGTAATAGTTGTTGCATGGAATCACCGCGCGGCGACCGCCCGGTTACCACGTTTTCACGTACATTAATGTCGAACCTGAATACTATTTACTAGACAACAACGTTTAAATTCCTTGGAATAATAGCACGTAGACCAAAGACAACCCAGCCTCATTTAAGTTAAAACATAAAAGCTAAATATACAGAGCGTATTTTGCTGTGACCTCGATGAAATTCGTATCAAATAAATGCGCCCTAACTGGGCGCTGTACTTCCCTGGACGAACTCTTTCACAAGGACCTTTAAAGCTACTAAATAAACGATTACGTTAGTTACGATAAGGAGAGCAAAATTTTAGAGCTAAACTGTGTTAGCCTTCATACGCCTAAACCTTAAGTAATATGCTCACTTTAGTATAGTAAGCCTTTATTTACATGATTGTTGAACTTAGCGAGGGATCATCGGGAGATGTCTAAAACAGCTTTTGAAATCTCGTATAGTATTGAATATCCTTAACCCACAAAATAACTTTGAACCCTCTGAAATCTTATCTTCGGTAATACCTTCCGTTTACTTGTTTCTGGAATTAAAATTTTGTGCGTCACTCCGTTTATTATACAATTGTATAACAATATTCAGAAAAAAATATACAGTTGTAAAAAAATCGTGATGCAATGGTCAATAACTAACTTAACTGCCTCCGTGGCCGAACGGTTACTATCCACGCAGAGGTCCCAGGTTCGATTCCCGGGCCGGGAGAAATGTTTGTATGGCTTACATTTATTTCTCTCGTGAGTTTGGGTGTAATTTGTGGTTGTCTATGTGTGTGTCCATGGCACCCGCGACACAGGGTTTCCCTAGTGCGGGGCTATGTTGAGTGTGTGCGTTATTTATTATTTATTTATTATAATAAGTCAGTCTTTGAAAATGTCCCCAAATAAGATACATGAGTATAATTTAGATCACTCTAACAGTAAACAATCCAAACATTAACACCCCATTAAAATAAGAATATTAATAACATTTGTATCATGACTTTATCATCCTCAACGTGACTAAGACAAAAACCGTATCGAAACGTGTTGAACAGTTTTGTGGAGTTATAACTGCCTATAACAAAACTGCTGGTAAAGGTATAGTTTCTTTAGCAGGTTCTTTAACATCGAAATGACTGAAAGTTGTCAAACGTCATTACAGGAACTTGCTATGATTGAAGACGCCAATAATCGTCTCAGGCGCATGGAGAATCGACTCGATATAGCCACAAAGAGGTTCTGCGTCGTTAATGCTGATAACAAGGGAGTCCGGGAAGAGATCCATCGACTGCTCGTTGAAAGGTATAACTTTGACCACCATAAGCACCTCCGATAGATTGTCAGACGTGGCGAGGAGATGAGACGTATGATCTCCTGCATACCTCGCAAGCGTTTGTCTTGTAAAGGTGCCTACAGATACGATCGACATTGTCGATCGACATCGATCGACAATGTCGATCAGGTGCCTACAGATACAATCGACATTGTCGATCGACAACGAGAATTATAGACGTTTTCGAGTTGTTTGGGAGTGCTTATTGAGAATGTGACATTATTTCTTAATTCAAGATGGTTCTGGAAATGGCATTTATATCTGAATACATGATGGCTGACACGACTTTTCGCATTTCCAAAATGCAAAATGGCGGGCACGATTTCCCAAATAACGGCAAGTTGGGTATCGTTTTCGAGATATTTGGGGGTGCTCATTGCGAATATAGAACTAATTTGTAAATCCAAGGTGGCGGGCACGATTTTTCAAATAATGGCAAGTTGGGTATCGTTTTCGAGGTATTTGGGGGTGCTCATTACGAATATGGCACTCATTTCTAAATCCAAGATGGCGGACACGATTTTTCGAATAATAGCAAGTTGGGTATCGTTTTCGAGTTATTTGGGCGTGCTCATTACGAATATAGCACTTATTTATAAATCCAAGATGGCGGACACAATTTAAAAAAAAAATGTAATATGGGTATCCTTTTCGAGGTATTTGGGGACGCCCAATACGAATATATTACTCATTTCTAAATCCAAGATGGCGGGCATGATTTTTTTTAAATGGAATATGGGTATCCTTTTCCAGGTATTTGGGGGTGCTCATTACGAATATAGCACTTATTTGTAAATCCAAGATGGCGAGTACGATTTTTTTTTAAATGCAATATGGGTATCCTTTTCTAGGTATTTGGGGGTGCTCATTACGAATATAGCATTTATTTGTAAATCCAAGATGGCGGACACGATTTTATAAAATGCAATATGGGTATCCTTTTCTAGGTATTTGGGGGTGCTCACTACGAATAATGCACTTATTTGTAAATCCAAGATGGCGGGCACGATTTTTTTTTAAATGCAATATGGGTATCCTTTTCTAGGTATTTGGGGGTGCTCATCACGAATATAGCATTTATTTGTAAATCCAAGATGGCGGACACGATTTTTTTTTAAATGCAATATGGGTATCCTTTTCTAGGTATTTGGGGGTGCTCATTACGAATATAGCACTTATTTGTAAATCCAAGATGGCGGGCACGGTTTTTTAAAATGCAATGTGGGTATCCTTTTCTAGGTATTTGGGGGTGCTCATTACGAATATAGCACTTATTTGTAAATCCAAGATGGCGGACACGATTTTTTTAAAATGCAATATGGGTATCCTTTTCGGGGTATTTGGGGACGCTCAATACGAATATGGCACTCGTTTCTAAATACAAGATGGCGAGCACGATTTTTCGAATAATGTCAAGTTGGGTATCGTTTTCGAGTTATTTGGGCGTGCTCAATACGAATATAGCACTTATTTATAAATCCAAGATGGCGGACACAATTTAAAAAAAAATGTAATATGGGTATCCTTTTCGAGGTATTTAGGGGTGCTCATTACGAATATAGCATTTATTTGTAAATCCAAGATGGCAGACACGATTTTTCAAAAAAAAAAAATGTAATATGGGTATCCTTTTCGAGGTATTTCGGGATGCTCATTACGAATATAGAACTCATTTCTAAATCCAAGATGGTGGGCACGATTTTTTTTAAATGGAATATGGGTATCCTTTTCCAGGTATTTGGGGGTGCTCATTACGAATATAGCACTTATTTCTAAATACAAGATGGCGGACACGATTTTTCAAAAAATGCAATATGGGTATCCTTTTCGAGATATTTGGGGACGCTGAATACGAATGTGGCACTCATTTCTAAATCCAAGATGGCGGACACGATTTTTCAAAAAATGCAATATGGGTATCCTTTTCGAGGTATTTAAGGATGTTCATTACGAAAAAGTCACCCATTTCTAAATCCAAGATGGCGGGCACGATTTCTCGAATAATGGCAAGTTGGGTATCGTCTTCGAGGTATTTGGTGGTGCTTATTACGAATATAGCACTTCTTTGTAAATCCAAGATGGCGGACACAATTTAAAAAAAAATGCAATGTGGGTATCCTTTTCGAGGTATTTGGGGATGCACATTACGTATATGGCACTCATTTCTTAATTCAGATATGGCGGGCACGATTTTTTTTAAATGCAATGTGGGTATCCTTTTCTAGGTATATGGGGGTGCTCATTACGAATATAGCACTTATTTGTAAATCCAAGATGGCGGGCACGATTTTTTTTTAAATGCAATATGGGTATCCTTTTCTAGGTATTTGGGGGTGCTCATTACGAATATAGCATTTATTTGTAAATCCAAGATGGCGGACACGATTTTTTTTTAAATGCAATATGGGTATCCTTTTCGGGGTATTTGGGGACGCTCGATACGAATATGGCACTAGTTTCTTAATACAAGATGGCGGGCACGATTTTTCGAATAATGTCAAGTTGGGTATCGTTTTCGAGGTATTTGGGGGTGCTCATTACGAATATAGCGCTTATTTGTAAATCCAATATGGCAGGCACGATTTTTCGAATAATGGCAAGTTGGGTATCGTTTTCGGGGTATTTGGGGGTGCTCATTACGATAATAGCACTTATTTTTTAATCCAAGTTGGTGGACACGATTTTCTCAAAAAAATGCAATATTGGAATCATTTTCGAGGTATTTGGGGATGCCCTTTACGAATATGTCGAGAGATGGCATCGCACAGTTAATACAGCGCTTATGGCAAGAGGCACGACGACAGAATGGGCTCAAGAATTACCCACAGTACTACTGGGCCTACGTACTGCACTACGAGCCGACAACAATCTCAGCCCAGCCCTAGTGACGTACGGTGCTACACTACGTTTGCCGGCCGACTTCTTCGTGCCATCAAAAGGGAACAACGACGATTGTGAATTCGTACGACAATTAATTAGCAAAATGGCATCGTTAATACCTACACAGAGCCGAAGCACCACACCTAGCAAGCTGCTCATGCAAAAGAACCTCGGTACGTGTACTTATGTATTCCTGTGCAACGACTCGGTCCGCCCTCCACTGTCTCCACCATACGACGGGCCGTATGAAGTCTTAGAACGCAATTCCAAGTGCTACAAAATTCACCGACAGGCTTAAATCGGCTCACATCGACAGCGCCAACAGAGCCGCGTACACCACTCAGGCGTCTAACGTGATAACGACACAATTTAGCCACGCCCCTCCTACGAGCACAGCCGCCGCACCACCCGCTAGCGATCTGCTGCTGCCGCAACAATTCACTCCAGTGACGGGCGATCAACCTATTCGCATATCAAGATGCGGCAGAACAAAAAAACCCAGAGTACGCTTCGCTTGAAGGGGTGTCATATCATTTCATCAACACGTCCGGTCAGCGCCGCGCGAGCGCCGACTGACTGGCGGCCCGCGGGCGCGCGAAGTATTTACGTGAGAGCAAGAGCGAGAGGCATATATATAGTCTCTCTCTCTCTCTCTCTCTCTCCAACTTATGTTTGGGTGTACGTTATATTTTATAAATTCTGTATAAAGGTAGGGGCTGATTTCGAAATAAATGTTACTTGCTAGCTAGACATCGAGCGTTTCACTTCTTCAACTAACAACCCTCCGAGGATCCGCTACACCGTCTTGGATTTACAAATAAGTGCTATATTCCTAATAAGCGCCCCAAATACATCGAAAACGATACCCAACTTGCCATTGTTCTAAAAATCACGCCCGACATTTTGGATTTAGAAATTAGTGATATATTCGTAATGGGCATCCCCAAATACCTCGAAAATGATTCCCATATTGCATTTATCTCAAAAATCGTGTCCGCGATGTTGGATTTACAAATAAGTGCTATATTCGTAATGAGCACCCCCAAATACCTCGAAAACGATACCCAACTTGCCATTATTCGAAAAATCATGCCCGCCATCTTGGATTTAAAAATGAGTGACATATTCGTAATGAGCATCCCCAAATAGCTCGAAAATGATTCCCATATTGCATTTTTAAAAAATCGTGTCCGCCATCTTGGAATTATAAATAAGTTCTATATTCGTAATTAGCACTACCAAATACCTCGAACACGATACCCAACTGCCATTATTCGAAAAATCATGCCCGCTATCTTGGATTTAGAAATGAGTGATATATTCGTATTGGGCATCCCCAAATACCTCGAAAATGATTCCCATATTGCATTTTCTTGAAAAATCGTGTCCGCCATCTTGGATTTAGAAATGAGTGATATATTCGTAATGGGCATCCCCAAATACCTCGAAAATGATTCCCATATTGCATTTATCTCAAAAATCGTGTCCGCAATGTTGGATTTACAAATAAGTGCTATATTCGTAATGAGCACCCCCAAATACCTCGAAAACGATACCCAACTTGCCATTATTCGAAAAATCATGCCCGCCATCTTGGGTTTAAAAATGAGTAACATATTCGTAATGAGCATCCCCAAATACCTCGAAAATGATTCCCATATTGCATTAAAAAAAAATCGTGTCCGCCATCTTGGATTTACAAATAAGTTCTATATTCGTAATTAGCACTACCAAATACCTCGAACACGACACCCAATTTGCCATTATTCGAAAAATCATGCCCGCCATCTTGGATTTAGAAATGAGTGATATATTCGTATTGGGCATCCCCAAATACCTCGAAAATGATTCCCATATTGCATTTTTTTGAAAAATCGTGTCCGCCATCTTGGATTTACAAATAAGCGCTATATTCGTAATGAGCACCCCCAAATACCCCGAAAACGATACTCAACCTGCCATTACTCGAAAAATCGTGTCCGCCATCTTGGATTTAGAAATGAGTAATACAATTATTAATACAAAGATCGAACACTCAGAAAAAACACTCAGAAAAAATTCCTTCGATCCGGTCGGATTCGAACCGACGTCTTCTTGCATACCGTGCCAGATGCTATACCAACTAAGCCACGGAACGAACCAACGGACCTCACGAATTTTTCTATGTGCTTGCGTCGTGTCTTTGTACTTGGTCTTTCAACCACTTTTTAGTCGTAGCGCCATCTATGAGAAATCTATTACAGATTTATCACCCAGTTAGTACCTTTACAGCTACCAGTCCTGGCGAGAGATGTCGCTATTCACTGTATTAATTAAATTTTTATTGAATTGATATTCAATTATTTTACTCTTGTGGAGTAATTTCAAAAAAAAGAAATTGAATATCAATTCAATAAAAATTTAATTAATGAGTAATATATTCGTATTGGGCATCCCCAAATACCTCGAAAATGATTTCCATATTGCATTTTTTTGAAAAATCGTGTCCGCCATATTGGATTTACAAATAAGTGCTATATTAGTAATGAGCAGCCCCAAATACCTCGAAAACGATACCCAACTTACCATTATTCGAAAAATCATGCCCGCCATCTTGGATTTAGAAATGAGTGAAATATCCGTAATGGGCCTCCCCAAATACCTCGAAAATGATACCCAACTTGCCATTATTCGAAAAACCGTGTCCGCCATCTTGGATTTAGAAATAAGTGCTATATTCGTAATGAGCACTCCTAAATACTTTTTCCGACCATTGCTCAAGACACATGGTGTCGATCGACAAAGTCGATCGTATCTGTAGGCACCCAATCGACATTGTCGATCGATGCGTCTTGAGCGCTGGTCGGAAAAAGTATTTAGGAGTGCTCATTATGAATATAGCACTTATTTCTAAATCCAAAATGGCGGGCATGACTTTTCAAATACCGGCTAGTTGAGCATAGTTTTTAAAGTATCTGGGGGTGCTCATTACGAATATGTCCTTCATTTCTAAACCCAAGATGGCGGGC